TGTCATTATGTGTCCATGATATTACCTATCATAGTTAGAACAGATACCTGGGACAATCTAGCATTCTTCTCAGTTTCATAATCTTCACTTTCAACTTCTACATTCTTAGGAGAATTGAATATCAGGGATGTAAATGCTAACCTTACTTTTAAGGGACTTTGTTAGGTGCAGAGGAGAGAAATAAGCCAGATTTTCTGAGCCTCAGTTCAGTGGTCTTTCCACTATAATGTAGGGACGTTGTACAGCTGCCTTATCCCAAGTAATGAATGAGGGTTCCCATGAGCCACTGGGTTTGGGGGCAGTTACCTGTTGGAGGGAGAGCCAATGCCTGGGCTGATTCAACTTTTTCCTCATCTCTACTTTTTTCACTTTCATCTTCAGATTCTGAGGTGGAATGAAAAAATTTAAGGATCAGTGCTCTATTCTGAAGGTTATTTCCAAAGATGAAAACTGACTGAAAACATATAATTTCTAGGCTTTTAAGGAAATACTTTCTAACTGCACTAGAGTTCTAAGAGTTTTCACTTGAGATGTGAAATTTGGAGTCAGTTACCTGTCAAAGAAGAAGATGATTCAGTGCTCTCAGATTCATCATTCTCAGTTTCCAGATGAGATCCTGAAATAATAGTAAAATAAAATTTGTTAGCAGAACTAAGTTTATAGAACCTATACACTTCAAACTCTTTCCCTTTCACTGACTAGGAAATGACTATGCTCAGCATGGGGCTGACTACTCTGTGGAGCATGGAGATTTGCCCCATTCTCTAAGTTCCAGGTTTGTTTTAGAAAACTGTAACTTTGTGCCAAATGAAAGAGGAGGCAGATTTTCTCTGAAACAAAAAAGAGCTCATTATCTTCCTCTTCTGTAATTCAAGGAATATTCAAATTCATTAATCAAGGTTTTCTGAAATAGCACTTTTCATTATGAGGAAGAAAAATACATTGTTATACAAAAGTTAGCCTTTCAACAATAGCAAAATAGTCTCAGAGGGTGTTCCAAGAATTGGGGATATACTGATGTATAATTTTACTCTGAACTAGGGGTCAGCAAACTATGGCCCACTGTCCAAATTCAGCCTGACACCTGTTTTTGTAAATAAAGTTTTATTGGAACACATCCACACTTATTTTGTACTTACTTTCTATCGCTGATTCTATACTACAACAGCAGACTTGAGTAATTATTACGGAAACCATATGGTCCGAAAAGCTTGAAATATTTAATCTCTGGCTCATCAAAGAAAAAGTGTGCCAATACATGCTCTAGAGAGAAGAACACGTCTATGTTCCTCAAACTTTCAATTTCCCATTGTCTTCCTTTAACAAGGAGAAATACAGGTTCTCAGAGATTTTTTCCTTGGGTAATCCACAGCTAAGAATAAGATGGTGGATTTTGTTCTACTGATCATTCTATATCTGGGAATGACTCTAAAGGCCACAGTGTATGGCCAGAGTAGCACAGATTAATTAAAGACTATCATTTAATTTAATACAACACCAGCACCATTTATTCCTTTAACAAATATTTACTCATCACCTAATCTGCGTCAGACTGGGGATGATGGAAGAGGGACTGGGTAGATCAGGGCATTTTGTGGCAGTAAATAAGATAGACAGTCAGGCAAAGAAGGTGCTAGAAATGTGAATAGTATATTATCCACTTGCAAAAAGAAATACAAAGACAAAAACTGCATGAGGATAATAGATAAAGAACAAGTTACTAGCCCTTTACTGAGATACTCACTTAAACTCAGTTGTTTCTTGGGGTTGAAGAAATGGTCCTTAAATATTTTGCCTGCCATTTGCATCTTCTCAATGAGATCATCAACCAGGTCTCCAGTCCTGTTCACAATGTGGTCCACTTCTTCCCCTAATCTTTGTAACTCACCCCTATTTAACACTTTATTTTCCATCAAATCATCAAAAATACCATCAAGCACGTTCCTGGACATTAACTTCACCATGTTGACCGGATCTTCTTTTGGTAGTCTCTTCTCTGTGAGAATGATAGGATTTTAGATACAGAGAGGAGCTTAGATATCTTATTCCAGGCCAGTGGTTCTCGATTTTAAAAAGAATCTCCTGAAAAAGCTTGATAAGCAGAGCTTTTTGCACTCCATTCCCAGAAATTCTTTTTTGATAGATCAGGGTGGAGCCCATGAATTTACATTACTAACAATTTCTGAGGTGGTGCCAAAGCTGCTAGTCTGAGGACCACACTTAGACTAATACTTATGGATGTTCAATTCTCTAATTTTTTTTTTTTGGATGGGGAAACTGAGGTCCAGAGAAGTGAAGCAACTTCACTGTAAGTCAGTGAGAGTTGACTGACTCAGTTTAGTCTTTGTATCACCGATGATGCCTTCACTTCCTGTCATTTTTATCAATACCTAATTTAAAAACACATTATATTCAATATGTATAGCAGTAAAACATATTACACCTGTAAAAGAATGCAATTTTATTTCCATGGGCAGGGCTGACAGGGCAACTTTCTGTGCAGAGATTGAGAGCACAAACTGTATCTGGTTTGCTCACTGTTATAAACTAAAATTCACACAGAGAGCAGAAATATGGAGGAAACTCAAGTTGCTCTGCATTTTACTGCATGGCCTTTCACTGTGACAAGGTAACATTTAGGTGAGAACTCTGGGTCAAGTCCAGAAGTCCAAAGAAGAGCCTAAAATCAACAAGAAAGATTTAAGAACATAGGTCCAGATTTTCTAAATTTTCCATTTTTCCAAGAAGTTGTAATGTATTGTCTAAAACACTTTGTTAGCATACTCATTACTGTGCCCCAAGCTTCCATCCCTTACAGTCTCAGAGTAAAATAGTTGTGTCTTGTGTGTGCCCCCTTCATTGCTCCTTCTCCTCTCACCCGTTCCTTCCTCCTGAGCTCTTTCTCCCCACAAAACATAGCCATAATGGAATATTACTCAGCCATAAAAAGAAACGAAATTGAGCTATTTGTAATGAGGTGGATACACCTAGAGTCTGTCATACAGAGTGAAGTAAGTCAGAAAGAGAAAGACAAATACCGTATGCTAACGCATATATATGGAATCTAAGAAAAATAATTGTCATGAAGAACCTAGGGGTAAGACAGGAATAAAGACACAGACCTACTAGAGAATGGACTTGAGGATATGGGGAGGGGGATGGGTAAGCTGTGACAAAGCGAGAGAGAGGCATGGACATATATACACTACCAAATGTAAGGTAGATAGCTAGTGGGAAGTGGCCGCATAGCACAGGGAGATCGGCTTGGTGCTTTGTGACCACCTAGAGGGGTGGGGTATGGAGGGTAGGAGGGAGGGAGACACAAGCGGGAAGAGATATGGGAACATATGTATATGTATAACTGATTGACTTTGTTATAAAGCAGAAACGAACACACCATTGTAAAGCAATTGTACTCCAATAAAGATGTTAAAAAAAAAAAAAACAGAAAACCTGGAGCGACTCACCAGCCATTGCTGCTCCAGCTCCCTGGGCAGGAAAAGCAATGAAAATGAAAGCAGCTTTCTTTCTTTGTTCTCAGTGGACCAGCATTACCTAAAAAGGAAACTGTAGCTTCTCAAATTCTCTCATACTTTGACAGGATAGAATTTGACTCCTCCTCTGATATGTAGCTTCTCTCTTTTAGAACACAGGAAGTGAATACTGACTTTTCTCCTTACTGTAACAAAGTCACCAGAATGAAATACATACACACACACACACACACATACACACACACACACACAGGGGTACAAACATAAGTTTCTATGTTCTGTTTTCCAGACTATTTTTAACACAGTTAATAAGTCAAATTGACCCTTATTTGTCTCTGTGCCACCCCTTAGCCACTAAATAGTAGGGGTGCCTCACTTGACTGATGTCTCCTCAACCCCAGAAATGAAGTGTGAACTTAGAAGCCTTGGGTGAAGGGGAGCGAGAAATTGACTGAGATATGCCAAACAGTTTTAAAAACCCAGATAAATGATCTCTTTACTTCTCTCCTCATCTGCTATTTTGTCAGTTCTGGGTATTGTTTATCCATGAGATTCATGTGTATACTTTTATCTGTTAAATGCACAAGGAACTCTTAAAAATTTCTTAAAATAATACATAGATGTTTTCCATGAAAATGAAACAATAGAAAATTTTGTGAAACAGAGTAAGATCATCCAGCTTCTTTAATTTCACATTACAAACATACAACACTATAAATATATAATGCAATTATATGTTTAGCTTGCATCTTTGTGAATCTTTTTCTATTCTTATAAAAACACATAATACAATACTGATTTTATTAATGGCCACAATCATTGGCCTACTTGTATCCATGCCCTTTGCTCTGACTACAGACTGGCCTTGTAACTTGTTTTGGCCAACATGATACAGTAGAGGGACATTGTGTAGTTCTGAGCACAGATCTTCAGAAGCATTGTGCACTTTAACCTCTTGGACACCTGAACCTCCATGTGAATAAGCCTGGCTTAGTTTACTAGAGAATAAGAGACATCACATACAGGAAAGCCCAGTTGTCTCAGCCAAGGTCATGCTAGACCAGCTTTTTTTTTTTTTTAATTGGAGTATAGTTGTTTTACAATGTTGTGTTAGTTTTTACTGTACAGTGAAGTAGAGCTCCCTGTGCTATACAGCAGGTTCTTACACATTAGTGTATTTATGTCAATCCCAATCTCCCAATTCATCTCCCCCAACCTTCCCCGCTTGGTGTCCATATGTTTGTTCTCTACATCTGTGTCTCTGTTTCTGCCTTGCAAACTGGTTCGTCTGTAACATTTTTCTAGATTCTACATATATGCATTAATATATGATATTTGTTTTTCTCTTTCTGACTTACTTCACTCTGTATTTACACTTTAGAAAGCCAGATGCTTTCCAAAAATATAGTAGGTCCCAACAATGTCAGTATAGATGCTTACCCTACATGCAGGTGATCTCAGACACATGAATAATTCCAAAGACAAGAGCCACTCAGTGAACTGGTCAACTTGTGAACAGTAGTAAATGTTTATTGTTTTAAGCCACTGCAGTTTGGGGTAGTTTGTTGCTCAGCAATAGATAACTGATAAACACATATTTACCTATAACTTCTTTCCCATATTATCAATAATTTGCTTTTTAAAAAATTGACAATGTATGACAAACCTCTAAAAAAGTCAACACGTTAAGAACTATCTCATTTTTGATGACTATACAGTATTAAAGTGCTGATAGATTATAATTTTAAAATATTTTGTCAAATTATGCACACTTAAGGCAACTAATCCAGTAGTACAGCAAAGTGTTTAATAAAAAACATATTCTCCAGTATCTCTCCCAATCTTCGATCCCGTATCCTACATGCCACTTGCCTAAATGATTTCTATTTTTATTTTCTAGTGGTAATCTTCAGAATTCTCAATAACTTGCCTATTTTATCCCTCTATTTTCTTATATATCAAATACAAACAATGCCATTGATTACCTTGAAAAATGAGATGCAGTTCATTTACACTGCCTCATTTACATCTTATTCTACCTAATATTTGATATCACAATTTTTAAATATTAAATAATATATTTAATCCTCATTTCCTCTTCCATCAGTGTTGCTCAGTAGCTTACTTTTCTTCTATGTAAATTGAAGATTTTTGCTCTCATACAATCTCCTCCATCTTTTCTCACCTCCAATTATGCCAATATTTTTAACCTATATTTTTATTTTACATTGTCAACTTATTAAGATTTTCATTCACTTGTGTATCCACAACCAAGCCTTCTGTGCCTTGTCTGTTATAATAACCAAATGTTAAAGAACCAATGAAGAACATTTACATTATTTTTGGCTATGTACATATTGCAATCTGTCTGGAAAAGTGATATGTTGGGACTATACTTCCTTGTCTTTGGGCCCAATCTCCCAAATAATTTTATCCCAAAGAATATTTCTAGTCTCAAGATCTACTAACTCACAATTACCTGGTCTCCTATACTTGGCCTTCACTCCTGTAATTCTATCTAAGGCCAAGCCATCACTCTCTTCATTCTATTCACTCACTCTCACCTACACAAGGACATTGTTTAACAATAGTCACATTGCTCTCTTACATCATTGATTTTCCCACTTACTCATATCAACACTATAACCATAAAAATACATTATAATACTCCATATTAAAAAATCCTCCCTGATCCCACTTCTCCATAACTCCTCAAAATCATTGTCTATCATTGCTGTCTCCAAATGTTTTTTATTCTGTCTTGAACCAGCTCCAATCACCTTTTTGTCTCTAGCCCCCTACCAAAATGACTCTTGTTAATGTAACCAGTGACTTCCACATTGTCAAATTAAATATTTAATCCCTAATAGCCTTTTTGACCTATAGAAGCATTTCACAGTAATATTTTCACCTCCTCCTGAAACCCTTCATTCATTTGCCTTTCAAATAACAACCCTGTGTTGATTCTCCTGCTACTTCAGCTGGCTGCTTCTTCTAGTAACACTTGCCAGTTAATTCATATCTTTGGTCTCTGCTCTGTTTTTCCTCACTTATTTAGCAGACTCATCCAGTATCTTGGTTTTCAATACTGTTTATGTATAGGAAGGCACCCAACATTTTAACATTCAGCCTATGCCTGTTCCCTGAATACCATATTCATATAGCCAATGTCAACGGGCATCTATTTGAATGTCTGGTAGATATCTCAATCTTGACACTTCAACCCCCACCTCCCATCTACCTCCTCTGAGAGTGTTTTACATTTTATTCTTACAGTTATTCAAGCCAATTTCATTGTTCCGGTTATTCAGAGTGGAACACATAATTCTTTTTTTTTTTTTCAAAACTTTATCCAATCTGTTGACTTTACTTTCAAAACATGAATTTTGCTCATGACCGTCACTTCTACTCTTATCTATTCTTACTATCTCACCTTCCAAACAAACAGTATAAACAACCTGTCAAGCTCAAGAAAATACTCTGTTAGATTTTCTAGGGGATTCTGTTGGGTTTATAGATTAATTTGGGTAGAAAATTGAAATTTTTACATTTATTTGTCTTATCGATGATGGTGATCTATCCCTCATTCTAGTCAGTCTTCTCTTATATCACTCAATGTTTTTAAAAAATATTTTTCCACATATACTTTGCAACTATTTGTTTAGAATTTTCTATAAGTATGTTATATTTGTTGCTTTTGCAAAGAGAGGCTTTAAAAAAGCAAAAAGTACTTCCTAATTAGTTGTCTTTTGAATATAAGGATGCTATTAAATGTTGTATATTGACTCAATTCTTGCAAATGTGGGGACTATATATTAATTCTAAGACATTTTCAATAAATAATGTCATATTTTTCAGGAATAGTGATGGTTTTGTTTCTTGGCTTCCAAATATTTTTACTTTTGGTTTTATTGTCTTGGAAGTCTAGTGCAAAATTGAATTTTTAAAAAATATTATTTTATCTAAAGATAATGCTTCTGTATTTCTGTACAAGAAAGCTATAGATTTTCTCATATTAAGTGTTATTCCTCTGTTCCTTTTTTCCTGATAGGCTTTTATTAGATACATGCTTTTAGATTAAGGGATTGCTTTTCTCTCTGTTTTTTCTTTTTTATTATGAACAAATTCTGAATACTATTGAATGCCTTCTAAACTTCTTAAAATATCACAATTTTCCCTTTAATCTCTTATTTTGAGGAATGCTATCATAATTATTTTTATTATCAGACTATAACTGCATTCCCAGAATAAATACTAGCTGGTTAAAAAATATTAGTAATGTTTCATATATGGCTAGAATTGTTTTGCTAACATGTTATTTAGAATGTTTACATCAATGTTCCTGAAAAATCATCCTGTATTTTTCTAACTTTGCTTCTACCTCTCTAGTTTCATATCAGTTTTGTACTAGATCTGTAAAAGAATTGGAGTTTACTTATCTTTTCATTTTATGGAAGCATTTATGTAAAATTGAGTTTATCAATTTCTTAAACGTTTTGTAAGACATTTGTCTACAGTCACTTGGGTCTGTTAATTATTTTTGCAGTAGATATGACAAAAAATAATTAATTTAATGTTTATTGATCCATTTGTCTTTTAATTTCTTTATATATTAATCTTGTTAATTCACTTTTTCTAGAATTCCATCTATGTTATGTATTGTATCCTCTTATGTTTTTTTATTTATGTTTATCTCTATTTGTTGCACTTTTTTATCTCTAATATTGTCTTTGTGCTAATTCTATTTTTTCATACTCAGTCTTGCTGAACATCTGCTATCTGACCATTCTTTTTTAAAGGACCAGGATTTTTCTTAAGTGATCTGTTCAATTTTTTGTTTTGTTACCATTTCATAATTTTTTTCTTTTTAATATTTATTATTTGCTTTCTTCTATTTTCTAAGTGGTTCAGTATTTTTCTGACTTCTCAAGTTGAATGCTTAGTTTATACTTTTTTCCTTTCTTCTTTTTATATGTGTTTATGTATATTTCATAATTTATGTTTGTATATGTATATACTATCTGTGTGTGTTCTTATTTCCAACTATGTGGAAATGTGTGGCAGTCTTTATGTTATTTGGTTTCTAATATTATCATGCAGTAGTCAGAGAATGAAGTCTCTCCCTGTATATTTTTGAACTTTGGGATGTGTCTCATGTCTCCACATGGGCATGAAGTCCAGAAACCTAAACATCATGAATCTTTGTAGTGTTAGTTAACCTTACAATTCAAACTTCAGTTAAATTGAAGTTTGAATTACAATTCAAACCCATACAATTTCAGTTTCTCCTTGCTTTGGAGATGTAAGGTGGTACAGTGGTTAATAATTCAGATTCCAGAGCAAGCCAGATTGCCTTCAAATCCTGGTGCAGCCACCTACTAACTGTGTAACTTTGGGCACATCACTTAAGCTCTATTTTCTTTTGTTTCCTTACCTGTAAAATGGTAATATTGATAGTGATTACTTTATAGGGCTGTTATGAGGGTTAAACTAGCTACTTATATACACACAATCCCTTATAACAATCAAAATCCTTAAAATAATCCTGACATACAATAATAAATATTACCTATTATGGTTGTATTTGACATCTAGAGAATCCTTTTATTTTTTTAATGCAGTTCATCATGTACTAAAATATTTATTCAGAATTCTGTGTGTATGTAACAGAAGTGGTACATCTCCTTACTTAGTAGCTCAGATGACCATGTGCCAGAATTCTTCTACCAAGATTCACCCTTCCAGAAATTTTAACATTCTCCTCTTCCATTGCTGACACTCCCCAATCTCTTTGCTGTTCTTTATCTAATAATATTTGTCTTTTCATACAAATATACTCAGTTACACAATCTTGAATCAAAAGCCCAATTTATTTTAGAAAATAACCAAATGTTTGCTAAATAATAAAATTTTCCTGAAGCTTGGAAATATGCAGAAATCTGGAAAGAAAATAATCAACAAGAAAGCAAATTAACTTATAGATGGGAAGAAAGATACATAGGCATAATTTGCTAAAATCATAACTTACTGAAGAAAAAAATGAACTCAAGCTATGATGTTGGTTAAATAATATATTAGGAAACTTCTTCTGCACAATTCTAGGCCTGGGGTTTGATGAGTGTATAAAGGAGGAGCTGACCAATTTACAGCTCTTGTCTCCAGATGGGCACCATCTCCTTTCACCCTATTGCTGAGGGCAAGTCATGACCAGTTCCCCTTACTCAATGAAGTGCAGATATTATATGCAATAAAACTAGAAAATCCAGTTTGCTTCTTCCACTTCATTTCCATACATCCACCATTTTAACTGAAATTCTATTCTCTATTAGAAGACCCCCCAAAAAGACAGTTCATTTGTTTTCATTTTCACTGAAAGACAAAAGGTTAAACATGTGTTCTGTACTGGTAAAAGTGCTTCTTGAAGTTGAAACAGCTGAACTTCCTGTGATTTTCTGAAGAAGAGAAAAAGAACAGACGGTTAAGATAGTGACCCCTGGAAGCCTTCAATCCAACCCTTACTGTGATTCTTCTTTGATTTCCTTCCATATGCTTTTGCCATTTCCCTTGGCTTCTATCTGTGACCTTTGTAGTCTATTCATCAAAAAGTACTCAGAGTGATCTTTGCAAAATCTAAGTTAGATTATACCATTTCTCTGTTCAAAAGCTCTTGAAGGGTTTCCTATCTCACTTAGGATAAAAGATTTTAAAACATTTACCATGTGATCATCAAGGCCCATGTGATCAAGCTTCTCACCATTTTTCTGAATTTTACCCTGCCATTTTTCCCACTCTTATTCTGTAGCCAGCTGCCTTCTTGCAGTACTTTAAAAGTCTTAAGCACACATCTGCCTCAGGGCATCCGTACTTCCTATTTCTGGTGTTGGGATTCATTTCCCACTAGAGCCATAAGGTTCACTCCCTTACTCTATCCATTCTTTGTTCTGATTTCAAATCACTTCATTACTTCAAAGCAGTCTTTATTGAGTAATCTATTTATAACAGTATGGTATTCATCTTTTTTTTTTTTTTTTTTTTTGCGGTACGTTGGCCTCTCACTGTTGTGGCCTCTCCCGTTGCAGAGCACAGGCTCCGGACGTGCAGGCTCAGTGGCCATGGCTCACAGGCCTAGCCACTCCACGGCATGTAGGATCTTCCTGGACTGGCGCATGAACCCGTGTCCCCTGCATCGGCAGGCGGACTCTCAACCACTGCGCCACCAGGGAAGCCCCGGTATCCATCTTTTTGTGTCTCTTTAGCCTTTTTATTTTTTCTTATTAGCTCTTACCACTCTCTAACATATATTAACTTGCTTGTGTATTTAGAGTTTGTCTCCACTCACTAAAGTATGAGCTTTCTGAGAGCAAGGACTCCATTTATTTTGTTCACTGGTACATTCCAAGCATCTAGAACAGAACTTGGAACATAGAAAGTGCTTGATAAATATTAGTCAAATAAATAATTCAATCACCAAATATGGTTCTATTGGACTAATTAGGCAGTCAAAGCTATTCTGCTGAAGTATCTATGCATTTATGTAGCCAGGGTGTCAGAAACCAGGGGTAGAAGATGGTGGGTAAATATTTCAAGAATTGAGATAAAATTTACTATAAAATATAATCTTAATTATGTTTCTGAGATGGAGATTAATAATATGCTTATAATATAGTGTGATATAAAGCTGTTATGAGTGAGTAAATAATTGTTGGGTCTAAACTCAATAAACCCATTCTAAAATAATTTGACCAAAAATTTTTTGTTTAAGTGTTAATATGGGTGATTGAAGGGGTTTCTGAGCAGTAATTAAGAACCTGAGGGGCTTCCCTGGTGGCGCAGTGGTTGAGAGTTCGCCTGCTAATGCAGGGGACACGGGTTCATGCTCTGGTCCAGGAAGATCCCACATGCCATGGAGCGGCTGGGCCCATGAGCCATGGCCGCGGAGCCTGTGCGTCCGGAGCCGGGAGAGGCCACAACAGTGAGAGGCCCTTGTACCGCAAAAAAAAAAAAAAAAAGAATCTGAGAACTGACTCAGAATGTTCTGTGATCTACACTGTGAGAACAGTCAGAGAACCAGAGTCTTCATTGACACAAACTCTTCCAGGGTGCATTTTATACTGTATAGTAATGGTGGCTCAGTATCAGTAATATGACACCTGCACTCAGAGGACCACAGTCCTGCTTTCTCTACAGTCACCTCTTTTTTCTGTTTTTTTTTTTTTTAATCTGAGGCAATATTTGGTAACTAATAATGTGTGTGTGTGTGTCAGAGAGAGAGAGAGAAAGAAAGAGAGAGAGAGAGACATGAATATAAGTAATAATGGAAGCATGAGTACATGTCTATGCTAATAATTGTTACCCTGTGTCCTTCACTGTTTATTACTTTCTGTCTTGATTTGGCTTACCTTCTTGGTTGATTGATTTATTGATTGATGATTGTAGAGATGGGGGGGTGGATCCAGATGCACATAAATAAGGTAAAAATTAGCAACTAATCAACAAACTACATCAACAAGGAATGCTAATTTACTAATTTGACCACTAAAGCAATAGGCTGTCATTGGTCATTGGACCTCACTACTAATATCACTGTCCCACTTATTTTGCCTGCCAACAAAAACTCTTGATACTTACTATTTTCAATTGCCAGGAAAGAGGTAGAAATATCTTGTCATGGAGAGTCGTTCAATGGTGGGCATCTGGGCTTTAACACTTGGTTTTTCAAATGCTTTTTGTACCTAAAAACAAAAAGAGGTTCTGGCTGATACGTACCTCTTATGCATTCTCAAAAAATGTTTTGCACAATGAGCCAAAAAATTCTTCGAATGAAGGGTGCTCCTAGGATTGATGTAACCAAGCCCTTGGACGTTCTTATTCCCTGTCACTGCTACCCTACCTCTTAGAAATGACACCTAATGTCAGAATATGCTCTTTATCTCAAAATACACACTTCATGCCTAATTCAAGTCTTTTCAAACTGCATTTTTTTTCTAGTTTCCACTTCTGATCTACAGACCTGATGATTAATTATCCCTTGGTGTTCGTTCATGAAAAGTGGACCTCAGAGATCATCTATCTTCAAACTCTAACAAGGTTAACTCCTCAATTCAATAAGGTTAAAATCCCAGGATTTTGTCCTTAAAGCCTGAATGATAAGCAATATTCACATTCACCATCAAGATGAGCTCTGAAGTATTTTTCTGTAGACTGATCAATGAGATCCTACTTACCTAGATCCACCATTTCTAATCTCTTCTGAGGAATTCCCTTGAAAGTATGTCTAAATCCTATTCATCCAATAGGACTTAACTTCCTAAGCTCCTAGTCACAGTCTCTGTGACTCAGGTTACAATGCAATCTTCTCCAATTTACTAAAGGTATATCCTTCTTTTCCCATGGGAGTGCTATTGTTCTTTATGGTTTTAGTTTAAAAATAACCACACTTTCCCATGTTCTTAATACCAATACTTTTCTCCCTAAAAAAGGAGGGACATTTATTCACTCATTCATACATTTATTTATTCAGTGAATATTAATTTCTCCCTTCCAGCTTGTTGAGTGTTGAACAAATCCCTGCCTTCATGAGCTTGCATGCAAGTGAGTAAATACAGGTAATAAACAAACAAAATATATACTGGGTGGGTGGTAGTAAGAGCTATTGGAGGAAAATAAATTAGAAAGGAAGGGGTAAATAAGGAATGTCCTGAGTTGGGGAAGAAGTATCAAGTCTTCCCTTCTGGGCCACTCTATTCAAAGAATTTTTCTCCTACATTCTCTTTCATGTGCCCTAGGACTTTCTCTTTTGGATCCTATCACAACCTGTATCACACACTTTTTATTGTTGTTGTTGGACTACTTATTCAGTACCCATCTCTCTCACAAGAATGTTAGTTCTAGGTAGCCTTATGTCACATATGTCTCATTTACCCCTGTGTCATGAAGATATAACCCATTACCAAGTAGACCACCCAATGTATATTTGTTGAATAAATGAAGCAGTGAAAATTAATCCAAAATACTTTCCATTCTTTGAATTTTAAGAACTTATAGCCCATAACACACAAGCTCACATGTTATAATATTTTGTTCTATTTTGATCTTTTGCTGTGGTGCATTAACATGGTCTTTTTGTAAATCAGATTTTAAACACATGGATTACAGAAACCAGTACCACTCTACTTTTGTTTGTCTGACAAAAATCTGTCATTGTCACTTGAAAGGCAAATAATAGTAAAGTCTTGCTGAACAAATACATGATTAGAAAAGGAGAGAGGAGCTTACCTTTCTAAATACTTCCTCTAGATGACAGCACCAAGAATATTTTTGGAAGCATGTGATGAGTTGAGTAATGAAGAGAGAACCTTTTGTGATGTCTCTCCAGGCCACATTATCTATGACGATAAGGAGTGGTAAGCCTTGGGCTGTGGCCTTCACCATTTTTTTTTTTTTTACATTTTTTGTCTTTTAAAACATAGCTTGGGAATTATCTTGACATATTTAGGGGAAGAACTTACAACCTTTCATTAACTCATTTTCCATAAAGAAGTTGAACTAAAGAAGCAGCTCATCAAAACTGCAGGTCATTGCATAGTGATTACCTTGTATTTTGGGAATTGACTTTCTACTCTGTGACTTATGCTTATTCATTTGGCTTTTAAAGGAGGCTTGAGAGATAATTGTAATTATCCCATTTTACAGATGAAAAATAGAAGCTCAGAAGATTAAAGAATTTCCTCATGTTCACATAGGTGATTGTTTACAGATTATATACCATGATGTCTTTCACAATATAGTGAGCAAAATAAATAAAAAGATCTAATGAAACTTTTGGAGGGAAGGGAAATGTTTTTGGTATAGATAGTGGTAATAATTTCACAGGTATATACTTATCTCCAAACTCATTAAACCGTATACATTAAATATGTGCAGCTTTTTTTATGTTAATTATACCTCCATAAAGTGGTAAAAGTACTTAAAAATATGTAAATTAGAAACCCTCAGATATAAGGCTTCTCAAGATGATTACCTAAAGTTCAAGGACTAGATACTGTTCCCCTAATAGTAGGCCTAATAAGTCCCATTGTATCATTTTCTTCTTCCTTTAAAAGGGCATCCACCTTCTTGCTGGGATACCACTCTAAATAGTACCAGATGGGAAATATGGAGAAAATGGCTTGGAGTTGATAATTTTTGAGAAATGGCCATCAGTCCCTAGATCCATAAAAACTCTACTCAAAATGTTGAATGGATTTAATAGAAAACTGAATCAATCATTTGTTTTTAACTAGTGTGATGGTAAAGGGATTTTCTTGTATTAGGTTGTTTTAATGGTTACTATACCTTTGTCTGTAAAGTGCAACATATAATAAAAGTCAATTTTTAAAAGTGAAGAATAAGTAAAATATATTGACAGCATTGAAAATTTGCATCAAATAATTGCTGCCCAGAGCTTATCTTGTTTTTTTAGAATCTTCAGAGGTAGCCTCAGACCCACAAATCCATGTCTGCAATTGAAAGACACATACGTGGGGTTGAGGAGCAGAAAGCAATGAAGTCCTTCTCCACATGGGTCTTGTAAATGGCATCCTCCTCCAGGTTCTCAGGTGACTGTGAAGAGCTGTCTGCCAAGGCTGCTGGAGAGTCACTGACCCACAATTCCCCATGATTTGCTGTAGAGACATCAATTTCCTACACACTTCGTGTCTCCCTCAGTATGACTATTACAATTGCCCACCTCATTCTTTTACAATGTTTATTCTAACCAGTTTCACACACACATGTGCACACATACATACACACATACAGGTGTATCTCCACTCCACATACAACAGTTTGCCTTTTTCTTGTGTTGTCGAGCAACATGCCAATTAATAGTGACAGCATTTTAGACCTGGAAGAACCCACTTGCTGAGAATCACAAAGAAGTTAAAGCCTTATCTGCATAATTTCAGAGCATAGTTATCATTTTATAGCTAAATTATTTTGGCTTTTCATCTTCAAACACTGTTCCAAAAAGCTAAAAGGGAACTGGGAGTCAGGGAAAAAAAGCAAAGAAAAATGTCACTGCAATCCCAGTTTCCCTCATCTCCTTATTCATTTCCCTTTCAATAATATATGAGAAAAAAAAAAAGATACTGCTATCACATAATAGCCTGACTTTCAAATGAAATTATTCTCAAGCCAGAGAATGTCAAAATGTCTGTAAAACATTTACAAGTAAAGTTGTCATTTAAATGATTTCATTCCAAGGTTGGAATATTTTTGTTTAACTTTGATTTGAGAATTCTGGTGATCTCCTTCACCACTTACCTTGAATCAAATTGAACAGAAATTTCTCAGCTAACAAAACAGAGTCTCATGATACCAGCCCCCTAATTGGAATTTCCTAATAATTCAATTTAGTTTATTTTCACTGGATGGGGTTTAAGATTGTTTCCCCTAGAAACAAAACATACTACAATCCTCTGCAAACACCTTTATGACTTTTGGATTTTTCATCTCAGAACTTACCACCTCTGCAGGCCTGGACAATGATGACCTTAGGTTTGTCCTTTAGACTGAGGCAATTGCGGTTGTTGAATATCCGGAAGATGGTGTCATAAGGTAGCACATCTGGGTTTTCATCACTATGCATAGTTCCACAGATCCCACCCAGGATGCCATGAGACATGAACACCAAGAATGTGCTGTCTGAAGATTTGTGCTCTTCACAGGCAGCAAATTTGCACAGCACTGATTCCATATCCTGAAAAAGACTGCAAGGTGTTACTTTAACAGGACAAGCATTAAAATTAAACTGACCTCCTATTTATTATGATCAGTATAAGAAACATCTGTAACGTTCCAATCATGGTGGCTTTACATAGTGGTTACTTGATGATAGTTTTATTTTTATTTCTATAATGGATCAATGGGTTCAATTTTTTGTTCCTTCTGACATTATATAACCTGTCCTCTTAATACATTTTACATTTGCTTATTGTCGTTATATACTTTCATTTTCATCTCTGTATTTTCTCTCATTACTTAATAAAAACCTTGAATAATAAATGTATCATACCACTTCCCTTCTAAGGCACTCCCCACCATACTTAGAATAAAATAAAACTTGTGACATAAGTATACTTCTCCCTTCTGACATTCTTCCTCCTCCTCTAGGCTCTAGTCACACTGGTCTTTCTGTACTTTTCAAGTGCCAGTTTCATATTAGGTTCAGACTTTTCACTTGTAGTCATGCCTGCTTGGAATATATTTCATTCACATCTTTCCAGAGTTATCTTGTCTCTGATAGTCATGTGTCAGATCCCGTATTACCTCCTCAAAATGTCTTTCTTGGCCATCCCATCAAACATTATTACTCCTCACTCACCAATTTGTTTTTATGTTTCCTTTTCATTTCCTTTTCACTTCTTTTCAATCTTAGAGACACACAGATACATCAAATATCTGAAATGTTCTGTTTTGCTTATAGTTTGATCACCCCCCACCAAGTGAACCTAGATCAGTGTGAGCTGGGAACTTTCTGTCTCATTTACAGACCCATCCCCAATGCCAAAATAGCCCCTGGAACAGTCAGGATTCAGTATTTATATGGTGATCACACTCCTGCTAACATTCATTACTCCAGAATTTTCTGGGAAATATTGGGGCTGAATCTCAATCATCCCACTTCAGAATTAAGAATTTTGTGTGTACATATGCCAATCACTTTTTGTACAGTTTTATGGAACTGAGGATATTTGAAGATCTAAAGAGATATAGATTTCACCTGTCTTAATATTTTTATTTTGTAACACACATTCACACAATTATATACACACACACACACACACACACACAACACACACAAATGAGACCTATGGTTGTTAAAGTTATTTGCTTAATATTATAAAGTTCACTTGTTAGTAGGAAGATATGTGTTGAATATGTATGTGTTTGGGGTGGGTGAGGGGCCCTTACCCTGGCTGTGAGTTTCTCTTCCACATCCACACTGTAGCCAAGGCCCTCAAGCAGCCCCTTCATTCCCATGATGTCATGGGCAGCCCCATTCCTGAGAGGGAGATGATCAAACTCTGTATTGCATATGATGAGAGCCAGACGAGTGCGGGCCTTTATCTCCTTTATTGGATAGATCTGCAGGAAATTGATATGCAGTGAGTTTGATTTACCTAAATCTCTCTTAAACCCTCATACACCAATCACTGTTGCTTTTAAGGGCTTGCATAAATGTCCTCTCTCCTATTCTGTACCAGAAGACGCTGCTTCTCTCTTTTAGTAATGGATTGAATTGATAATAGAAAGAAGTACAAATTGGAAGGGAATTATTTTTCAAAAGCCCAGACAATGATCCAGATTATATTTGTGATGGTTACTCGAGAATCTTCAGGAGACTAGAACAATCCCTACCCTCTCCTTCTCCTCTTTCTTCTCCACCTAGTCAAATCTTTCTTAACAATAAAGTTTCAGATCAAATTTTGTAAAAACCAGGAGATATTTGCCATTGACTCCAGCTAAAAATAAAGATCCTTTGCCTTGGGTAACGTTATTCTGGTACTATTTTTTTTTTTTTTTTGCGGTACGCGGGCCTCTCATTGTTGTGGCTTCTCCCATTGTGGAGCACAGGCTCTGGATGTGCAGGCTCAGCAGCCATGGCTCACGGGCCCAGCCACTCCGCGACGTGTGGGATCTTCCCGGACCGGGGCATGAACCCGTGTCCCCTGCATCAGCAGGCGGACTCTCAACCACTGTGCCACCAGGGAAACCCATTCTGGTACTATTTTAATTTATAATGTTTTGCAGGTGTTAATAATTTTTAACTGGAATGCAAACAATTACTACTCAGCCATGTTATCTTATAAATATTTTGATTCTATGACTATAGCTAAAATTCTAACAAATCTCAAATATATAGGACAACAAATAAATGAAAAAAGTGAGAGACTTGTATTTTATCATAAGGTTGAAAGAGAATTGGAATCTGTGTGAAGCCATGTGATTTCTTCCTGCTCAAAGCATCTATGAAAAAGGAATCCACTGTCCCACCCTGCCACTCTGTAACTAATGCTTTAAGAAATTGTGTAATTAGTGAAAGCAATTGTTTTTCTCTCTTCCTCTCTTTCCTGTACAGAGCACAGTACCTCTTCAGCCCTTTCTTTACACAATTTAAGAAATTCTTCATGAGGGCAAAGCTTGAGGGTATCTGTAGTTTCTGCTGACTCATCTGGTCCAGTCACGATTTCCTCAGGAGCTGCAGAATACATCACATAATATAAATTGTGATATCTGACTATGTGACCCAGTTATCACCTAAGAAAACTGACAGAAAAGGGTTATCCTGGGAAAAAGATTTTTAACATGTTGGGTTATAGTTGTATCTAACCTGTGTGTGAGGAGACAGATGTATTACGACTGGGAAAGAAGGGAGAAATCCTTGGTAGTAAAAACAGATCCACTCAAAAATGCAATAATAGATTTTGATATTATGAAGAAGACACCTTAATGATTTAGGGTCAAAGTTAGCCTTCCCTTCACTCATGAAAACAGTTTGATTTTTCCAGTGGTTTTACTCTAGGGTATTACTCATCTGTGTGGACTTTCTACTGTCTCTGAGCAAGAGTACATTTAGTAAATATTTATCAGAGTGCTATCTACTAGAAATAGAATTAAGTCACACTCACATTGAGTCACTTCTTTTTTTTTTTGAGAGTATGCAGCACTTATTACAAAGCCAGGAGATACAAATATCCCAGGGCAGGAGGAGGATACAGCCACAGCACCTCAGACACAGGACAAGGTGCAAACACAGACAAACCTGTTGGGGGACACCTCACCCCAAACACATAGGTTGTGATAGAGTCTTGCCTCCTCCCTTCATCTTGATCTGATCTATGCACATTGGAGAAAAAAACTGGTGGGTGGGGGTCTGTTGGGGTCTGTCCCTCAGGGGTTGGACCACTTGACTTCTTGGGGATGGAGCTGAGGTCAGATCTCACAGGTTCTGCCTTCCTGTGCTTTTAGATGCCTGTTGCTCTTTCCTGACTTGGCCTCAGCTGCAGGTGGGAAGGGCACTGCAATTTAAAATTTTCTAATGTCCACATTGAATATAAACAGACAGAATCAATTAATTTAATAATATATTTTGTTTAACAATATATCCAAAATAGTATCATTTTAACCTGTTACTAGCCACAATTTATGCACTTAAAAGCCACGTGTGCCCAGTAGCTATCATATTGGGTAATATGACATCCCAAGTCCACTCCTAATTCACACAACAAACACAGACACGTACACACTCAAATACTTAATAGAATCCTAAATCCTGTACCAACCAGGTATTATTTTTTCAGCAACCTCAGCGTGAATTTTTAACCTTTCCAGAGGAGATAGGCTTCAATGATTCACCGAGTTGTGAAGTCAGCTATTTAAAGGAGAAATGCTATGCATTAATCATAGTATTGCATCCAGTGTCGAAGGTACATTTTTTTTGTCAGAGATGCTACATTACTCTGAATGTCCTTGCCTCCAAAGTGCTGAATAACCAGCCCTAAATTTTCAACCCATGTTTTAAAATGTGAGGAAATAACTTCTCCTTGTTGGAAATGAGAAATGTAATATTTTCTGAAACTGTTTGGCCTCATTTGACTAAGATTGTGCAAGAGACTGGGAAAGTCCAGAGCCCTCCCTTAGAGAAGGAAGGAAGAGATTCCTCAAACAAAAATCAGGAGAAGTTTATCAAGACCTAACATAACAAGGTTTTTGTCTATGAAAGGAATAAACCTTTATGTTCATTTACATGAACAAACCAAGACAGTCTCTTATTTTATTTTATTTTAATTAGAAAGGCAATATTATCTTCTGTAAATTTTTCAGTTTTTAAACTTTATAATTTTTTCAATTTCATTCATTTGTTTCCATTAGTTTTTAAATAATATTTTTTTTATAAATGTCTTTCTAAAAAGTATGCTAAAAATGTAAGCTCTGGAGATGCAGCAAATAATGGTATGTCTTTAAGTCTACCAAACTGTCTTAACATTTATTTCTGTAAAGTACTGACACATACTCTCCTTTCCTACTCCAGAAGATTTTGCCAATGTGAAGAAGTCCAGGATCTTGGGATAGTCCCTGGTCAGAGGGTATGTTTTGTCATTGAAAGTCTCCTGTTTCCAGGTCATTTACAAGTTTGGTGTACTCTTGAATTTAATAAATGTCATCTCCTAATGACCATTATATGTCTATATATAGATACAGTATTTACAGAGATAACTGAAAATTAGACTATCTTATGGCTAATAGTAAAATTATCATGAAACTGAATCATTTCATTACAGTGTAATGTAGTGTAGCCTGCTGTTCAAAAGGAGTACCCATGGGCCTGAGAGCACAGCAAAAAGAAATAAGAAAATAAGCAGATTAGATAAAAACTTTAATATCTGAGTTTTATCTGTTACCTAATGAAATGCTCAAGAAACCTCTTAAACTGAAACAAAACTAAAGATACTGATATTAGATAAGACAAGTCCTTCTCCCTTGGCAAGTAGGAACTTGAGTAATTATCTCTCTGACTGAATAACAGTGCTTGGCACATAGTATGTACATATACTGCTAAATAATTGAAACAAATAGCTTAGATTCTTCCTATCCCCCACTCCATTTCCTCAGTATCTCATTAAGAACCCTCTGAATTATATCCATGCCCAAAAGGCCTGGCTAGGGCTTTTACATATTCTAATAGCCCCACTCACCAAGCTTCCTGTTCTCCTGGGCCAGTATACTCTAGGTGTCCTGAGATTCCTCTGGAGGTTCCATGTACAGTAGAACTCAGGGGGCTACTGGATACTTCATGAAACGGTCTATACCTGCTGCCTGCCTGCCACAGACTCTGCTAATGGGATAGGTTATTTCAGTTTAAAGTTCATTCTAGTTCCTGGGGTTGCTAAAATCATTTTGGAGTTCCCCTTATTTCAATTCTGATTCCCATTTGTTGAATTATCTCTGATCTTGTTTTTATTTATTTTATTTTATTCTATTCTATTCTATTCCTTTATGGCTTATTTTAGGATATTGAATATAGTTCCCTGTGCTATACAGTAGGGCATTGTTATTTATCCATTATATATGTAATAGTTTGCACCTGCTAACCCTAAACTCCCAATCTATCCCTCCCCCACACCCCTCCCCCTTGGCAACCACAAGTCTGTTCTCTTATTTTGTTTTTAAATCCAAATTGTTTTTATCCCATCCCAGGTTTAAGAGAAAGTAATAAACCTGCACAAGGACCAACTTAAACGTTAATGATAACATAGCCTAGGCCACAATCTTGGACATCTATTAGACTAGTGTATACTTCCTGCTGGTGGGAGTGTCCCTTCTCCATAGAGAAGGGATTATTGAAAAAGCTTATTTGCTATAGTGAGGTCTCTACAGTTATGTTGCATGTTGTTTATTATTGCTTATTATTATTGATAAACTCTAGTGTTCAGAGTTCAGAGTCTGGAATTTTAGGTTAAACTCTATACCAAATTGAGTCCATCACTGGTGAACTTGGATCTGAGGATATTTAGACTCTAGTAATATTCATAATTCATTTAAAGTGAAGTTTTGAAAGATGTTAATATATTGGACAGTTTATATTGAATAAGTATTCTCCTGATCATATTTTGTAACTCACAGAAATGAATAAGCACAGTAAACATTTAAATATTATAAGCTAAAAATAATTCTGAAAACTAATATTTATTACATGCATGTTCTTCATTTGCCTATTCATCCGATATTCATTACATGCCTGCTATGTCTCTGGCACTCTGCTAAGAGCTATTATTCATTGGTGAAGAAAACATTTGTGATCTGGATTAAGAAACTCAGTGGGTTATAGTCCTGTCTAATGAGATAAACAGGGGAAAGAAGTGTAATAGATTTGATCTGGAGAATAAAGTGTTTCATTTTATATATCTTAGCTTTGTGAAGCCAGTGGAACCTTCAAGTGGAAATGTTGAATATGCAGCTAGAGCTAAATATATCTGGAGTTCAGAGGAGAGTTCCAGATGAGAGCTAACATATTAGGAATTTTCAATCTGTGTCTGCCATTATGTTCCTAGCTTTACAAAGCCTGTGATGAAGTGACTGAAATTGTCCCCATTTCACAGATGCTCATACTGATGCTTAGGGAGGTTAAGAAACTTGAATGAAGTCACATAGTGTCCAAAGTGACAGAAACCTGAGTTCAACTCCAGGTATCCCTTACTACAAAGTCTCTGCAATTAGCTATCTCTATGATCAACCTAAACACAAGGACTCAACTTCTAAGCTAATTGGAAATTAGATGCCCTCCCACAAATAACAAGGTGGCCTCTAAAAGGACAATGATAGGTTTAGTGAAAATTGTACTTTAGTAATAGGAGGATGGGGAACTTAGAGGACAGTGGAGCAGCCTTGGAGCCAAGTAGATGTGAAAAATTTAAGATATCCCTTGAAAATAATTCCAGTCTTACCTTTTATACTGGTGGAATTTTTGTCTATGTTTAGGAAGGTTTGAACAAAGATTTGACCTGCTTCATGGCGTTTCTGTCGCATACAGTCCACCAAGACCCGTGCCTTGTCTTCAAGCTTGGCATTATAAATTTTTTTCTTCTCCTCTTCCTCCAATTTCAGGACATTTTTTCCCACCAAGTCATCCAAAACGCCAGTAATGAGCTCTTTGCCCACAGATTCCAAAATCTTAAGTGGGTTTTTGTTGCGTGTGTCTTCTGTCAGAAATACAAAGCTTCCTTTTACTTGATCTTGTCTCAATAAAAAATTCAGAATTGAAAATAATCTGATGACTGATCTTTCAATATGGTAGATCAATATGACACCAGGTTAATATATTACTGTCTGGGATAATTAGAACTTTTGTGGGTGATTAAGGAAGTCAAATTAATAAGTATTTTATTGTAATACCACATGTATTATTTGAATGGATAGTGCATGGGAAGGCAGGGTATCTCATCAATACTTAATTAAATCTACAAAGACAGTTATAAAGTTCATCTAGATATAAAGATAGTCTTGACACAAAATGATATATTCTAAAAAAAAATGCACCAAGACATTGAACAAGAACTTTGCCCCAGAAGCACCAGCCTCATTGTTCTTATTGCCTTGAAGTATTCTTTCAGTAAATGTTTATTGGGCAAATATTATGAGAAAGAAACATGGACATTACAAAGCATGAATAAAAAGTTACCCAATATCAGTTCATTTAATAACAGCTAACATCTATTATGCATTTAGGATTTAAAAAGAAATACATTTAAAGCAATATACAATATTTTTATTATTTACAAGTCTCTGTACTAAATACTTTATAATTATTAATATGATGGACCCTCACAATAATCCAATGAGATGGTTAATATTTTCCTTTTTTACAGATCATTTAAATAAAATGCCCAGATCACACAAATTAGGATTCAAATTCTGTTCTTACACCGTATTCTATAAAGTTAAGTATAGCACAGCTTCAGTAATAATAGTTGATATTCATTGAGGCCCCATTGGTCTCAAGTTCTTCATATGAATCTTATAAGTTAAAGTTAATAAAATTCCATGTAACATGTATATTAATATTTCTGTTATATAGTAAAGGAAACAGACACAGAGAAGTTAGTTAAATATTTGATCCAAATTGTGTGAATAGTACACCATGTTTAGTAAGAGGGTAGGAAGGGATTCAAACTCAGGGGTTCAGAATCGAGTCCCCACTCAAATCATCAAACTACTTTACATGATACTTGGTAAAGAGTTACTTAAGAGAATAGAAAGTGATTCAGGGACTCAGAAAAGACTGGGTAAATTTCTGCAGATGAGGTCACAAAATGCTTCTTCTTAGAAAAGGTGGCAGAAACACTGGTCTTCCACTAGAGTATACACATGTCAGAACAGAAAGATTGAAGAATTATGAATAACATGCAGGTTAATCTATGAAATGTTTACTCTGACTGAATTCTGGGTTTCAATTTTATTTATTTCTGCCTTCAACAGGTTGAGTGTTGACTGAATAAGTGGTACTGGGAGAAATATGGTAAACAATAAAACCAAAGAATGTTTACTTTACATCCTCTTATTATCTACACATTCTCATATCTTCAGTTATTAGCTTTAAATAATAAATAAATTATCCCTGAATTTATAGATTCAGCCCAAAGGTGGATCCCCAAATTGAGGCTCATATATTCATCCCTTCTCTGTATCCCACAAACTCATTACACTCAACTTTTAAAAGCTGAACTTCTCATTTTTCATCACCTGCTTCATTCCCTATATGTACTAGTTAATGGTATCTTACAGTCAAGTGCACCAAATCAGTAAAAGCTGGTGATACTGAACCTCTTCTGCTTTCTTTATATCTTATTTTCCATCTCACTTCAAACTGTATTGATTTTATCTGCTAAATATTTGCAGAATCTGACTACTTCTCCCTCTCTAACTGTTTGATACTCTAGTTCAGGCCAATATCCTTTCTTGTTTAATTACTCTAAGAGTCTGATAAATCTCCTCTTGTCCCCTTCTAATCTGTTCTTCTCAATGAAGCAGTCAGTGTTCTAAAAATCCAGACGTAACCATGAAATGTCTCAGCTTAATCTAATCTAGGTCTTCTCATTCAGCCTCATCCTCTGCTACTATACCCACCTTGCTCATTACATTTTAAACACTTTATCTTTCTTTCAGGTTCTACAAAGCCTTTACTTAGGGATCCTTATGTGTACAGTTTCTCACACCCAACATTCCTTTCTATTTCTCAACTGCTTCCTGTTTATCTTCAGGTCTCAGATGACATGGCATTTTCTTTAGGAAATTCTCCCTGATGCTTAAGACTAGACTGAGTGTCAGAGCAATATGCTCCCAGAGAAACTTGTTTCTCCCTAAGCTAACATTTTTTTCCTTATAGTTGTTAATTAGTTAACAATGGCAACCAAACTCATTAGTTTATGTTTATTGAGTCACTTTACTTGTTTTGTCTACTGCTTTTCAGTTTATCATATCTATTATCTAATGATGTCCTGATTCCAGTTCAATAACAAGTAAGGTCATCCTGCCTAGCTAAAGAGGCAGCCATGAGTGTGAATTTAATGTACTACTCCCAAGTCAAATGCTGTATGAGCACCATGAAGAAGATAAGAAAACAGTCAGTCCTTACATTTTAGGAGCTTAAGTTAAATGTGTGAGATGAGACAGAAACCTTGGAAAGAATTACACTACAGGGAAAATAAGAAATAAAGAAACACAATAGCAAGAAAGTGTGAGTGGGGGGAATGCAAGTAAATGTTTGTTAATGAAGCTGAAATCATGCTTTAGAGAGATTAATGGTAAAGTGAATAAATATATTTTGAAAGGTCGGAAAACCTGTCTGACAAGTTCAGACATTTTTTAAAAGGCAATACAGAGCCATTGTATGTTCCTGAGTAAGAAAATTGCATTTGTAAATACCTAGAAGGTAAGAACTGAAAGATAAGGATCTGATCATCTTTCCTAACAATGCTAATCTGCAGACAAACCTAGTCCAGCTACATAAGAATCATTTGTAGATCTCTAAAAGATTATAAATGCTTACAGTCTATGCATGGTTGAGTAATTCGGGGTTATGAAGGGGGAAATAATCTAAATTTGTTAATGTCTACAGATTATTTAGATTTGTTGTAAGGTTTAGAAACCACTGATCTAGTTGAACCTCTTCCTTTTCAAATTAAGAAAATGAAGCCAAAGAAGTGATATATACACTAATATGTATAAAATGGATAACTAATAAGAACTTGCTACATAAAAAAAAAAAAAATTAAATAAAATTCTAAATTCAAAAAGAAGTGATATGATATACCTGAATACTAGCTACATAAATAGCCAATGATTCCATCTCTTATACTTTCCAGTCTCTGTGCGTAAGATATGTGACCTGAAAGCAGTATGCAGTATGGATAGGAGGGTTAAATCCTGGAGAGAGGGAGACCAGTTAAAAACTGTGATAGCAATCCAAGAAATACTGTGCTAGAGTAGTTAGCACCACAGCTAGAATGGGAGGAAAATGTAGTTACTTTACAAAGACAAAGAGCATAATTCAATATAGGATATAGTAAGGGGGGGGGTGGGAATTCAAAGACTCACTTATCTGATTACGGGGACAATTTTATGGAATCAAGAGGAAGCTGAGAAGATTTCAGAGTGCATTTAGGAATTTTCAGAGTTTTCTCACACATAAATAACTTACTCTATTTGTCTTTATCCACCCTTCACTTTGATTACCAGGAGCTGCAAAAAAGGAAATAACTTCTTCCTGGCTCTGAGATAATCTGGACACCATACTCTCCTTAGCATCTCCGAGACAGTGTCCCCCAGTTCAAGTTACACAGAGCTAATAAGGAGAATTTAGCTTGCACAGGGTTGGCTCACTTCTCTTTTGTATATTTCTTCCTGTCACAAAGCAATTAATAAGTGTTTTCTAAGACCCAAGTTCCTGACCCTCAGCTAGGAAAGGACCCTTACTCACCAGCCATATGTAACAACCGTAGTCCCTTCCTGATGCCTTGAGAAGAGCACAGGCTTGAAAATGAAAGTTACTGGACACTTCCTCCATTCAGGGGGCGGGGACTCCTAATCATAGATTGGGAAACTGCTGCTCACAGAACTTCTGCGTTCACTGTCAGGAAGTCCCCTGTAGTCAGAAAATGGATTTCCCAATCCTTTGGGAAGGATTATTTCTTCCTTTTGGAAGAAAAAAAATGAATTGACAAAATATTTTCCAACCTATGTTGGAACCTCTGACTGTTTTTTTCCCTCATTTTCTTTTTCTTTCCTCATTGCTCCACACCTCGTTCTCTCTGTCCTTCTACTTCTGATCTCTCAGTATTTCTCCTTTGCTCAGCTACAAGTGCAAATCATGAAGAAGTTAAAACTAACAGGTTCCCTTTCATTTCCGGATAAGGATTACCCAAATAACTTTAGTTTCCTGTTTTAACTGTGCTGATCATGGTGGTATTATTCCCTCTCCATCTCCCTATCATCTTACACTTTTATTGGAAATAAGTTCTGAACCCTTGTCTCCATTCCTTTCATAATTTTATTTAACTGCCTAAGCTTCCCTTAACATTTAATTTTTACTGAGGGTGACTATTCACCTCCCTTTTTGTTATATTCTGAACAAAGACTGACCATAGAAGTAGTCTCAGGCTGTAGTAGAATGATTGTGTGATAGTACAAAAGATATATATCCAGAAAAACTGTTAGTGAAAGGAGGAAAAAAAAAAAGACTATGAAATGCTCAACTTGAAGGTCTTGAAAAGGTCAGAAATTCTAGGTCCATCCATGCTGCTGCAAATCATACTAAGTGAAGTAAGTCAGACAAGAAAGAAATATCATATGGTATCACTTATATGTGAAATTGAAAAAAAAATGGTACAAATGAACTTATTTACAAAACAGAAATAGTCACAGAAGTAGTAAACAAACTTATGGTTACCAAAGGTGAAGGGGGGTGGGAGGGATAAATTAGGAGATTGAGATTAACATATACACATTGCTATAGATAAAATAGATAACTAATAAGAACCTACTGTATAGCACAGGGGACTCTAGTTAACATTCTGTAATAACCTATATGGGAAAAGAATCTAAAAAAGAGTGGATATATGTATATGTACACCTGATTCACTTTGCTGTACACCTGACACTAACACAACATCGTAAATCAACTCTGCTCCAAAATATATATATGTACGTCAATAAAAAAAAAAAAACTAGGTGTATTTTTGACAAGTCCAAAAAAAAAAAAGGACAGAAATTCACCTTCATTGTTAACGGGTTAGGATTAGAAAAGGCTCATATTTGCAAGTAAAAGAGTAGTTTTTCCAGTTCTTCCTAAGTCTAACCTTGCTAAGTGAAAACTTCACCCCAAACTCATTATCTGTGCACCACACAGGAACATTGTTTTGCATACAAGTCACCCTAGCATTTATTCATAGGGTGTCATGTACTGTCTGCTGATTGTTTCATGTTTGTTGACTGTCCCATCTTATCAATAAGACTGTAAACTACTATGTACCTAGAGTTGAATCAAATTACTTTGTATATTGAAGAATCCTTGTATCCCTGGGATAAACCTCACTTGATCATGGTGTATGATCCTTTTAATGTGTTGTTAGATTCTGTTTGCTAGTATTTTGTTGAGTACTTTTGCATCTATGTTCATCAGTGATATTGGTCTGTAATTTTCTTTTTAGTGTGATATCTTTTTCTGGTTTTGGTATCAGGGTGATGGTGGCCTTTTAGAATGAGTTTGGGAGTGTTCCTTCCTCTGCAGTTTTTTGGAAGAGTTTGAGAAGGATGGGTGTTAGCTCTTCTCCAAATGTTTGATAGAATTCACCTGTGAATCCATCTGGTCCTGGACTTTTGTTTCTTGGAAGGTTTTTAATTGCAGTTTCAATTTCATTACTTGTAATCAGTCTCTTTATATTTTCTGTTTCTTCCTGGTTCAGTCTCAGAAGGTTGTACCTTTCTAAGAATTTGTCCATTTCTTCCAGGTTGTCCATTTTATTGGCTTATGGTCGCTTGTAGTGGTCTCTTATGAGCCTTTGTATTTCTGCAGTGTCAGTTGTAATTTCTCCTCTTTCATTTCTAATTTTAGTAATTTGAGCCCTCTCCTTTATTTTTTTCCTTGATGAATCTGGCTAAAGGTTTATCAATTTTGTTTATCTTTTCAAAGAACCAGCTTTTAGTTTCATTGATATTTTCTATTGTGTTCTTTGTACCTATTTCATTTATTTCTTCTCTGATCTTTATGATTTCTCTCCTTCTATTAACTTTGGGTTTTGTTTGTTCTTCTTCTTCTAGTTGCTTCAGGTGTAAAGATAGGTTGTTTGTTTGTGATTTTTCTTGTTCTCTGAGGTAAGATTGTATTGCTATAAACTTCCCTGTTAGAAATGCTTTTGCCACATCCAATAGGTTTTGGGTGGGTGTGCTTTCATTTTCATTTGTCTCTAGGTATTTTTTGATTTGATTTCCTCTTTGATCTCTTCAATGATCCTTTGGTTGGTTACTAGCATATGGTTTACCCTCCTTGTGTTTTGTTTCTTAAAGTTTTTTCTTGTACTGGATTCCTAAGTTCCTTGTGTTTTGGTCATAAAAGATGCTTGATATGCTTTTAATTTTCTTAAATATACTGAGGCTCACTTTGCGGCCCAGCATGTGATCAGTCCTGGAGAATGTTCCATGTGCATTTCAGAAGAATGTGTATTCTGTTGCTTTTGGATGGAATGTCCTATAAATATCAGTTAAGCCTATCTGCTCTACTGTGTCATTTAAAGTTTTTGTTTCCTTATTTATTTTCTGTCTGCACGATCTATCCATTGGTGTAAGTCAGCTGTTAGAGACCCCCACTAGTATTGTGTTACTGTAGATTTCCCCTTTTATGGCACTTAGCATTTGCCTTATGTATTGAGGTGCTCCTATGTTGGGTTCATAAATATTTATAATTGTTATATCTTCTACTTGGATTGATCCTTTGATCTTTATGTAGTATCCTTCCTTGTCTCTTATAACAGTCTTTATTTTAAAGTCTAGTTTATCTGATATGAGTATTGCTACTCCAGGTTTATTTTGATTTCCATTTGCATGGAAAATCTTTTTCCATCCCCTCAGTCTGTATGTGTCTCTGGGTCCAAAATGGGATTCTTTTTTTTTTTTTTTTTTGCAGTACACGGGCCTCTCACTTTTGTGGCCTCTCCTCCTGTTGTGGAGCACAGGCTCCGGACGTGCAGGGTCAGAGGCCATGGGTCATGGGCCCAGCTGCTCCATGACATGTGGGATCTTCCCAGACTGGGGCATAAACCCATGTCCCCTGAATCAGCAGGCAGACTCTCAACCACTATGCCACCAAGGAAGCCCCAAAGTGGGATTCTTGTACACAGTATATATATGGGTCTTATTTTGGTATCCATTCATCCAGTCTGTGCCTTTTGGTTGGAGCATTTAATCCACTTACATTTAAGGTATTATCGATATGTATGTTCCTATTATCATTTGTTTTTTGCTTTGGGGTTTTTGTTTTTGTAGGTCTTTTTCTTCTTCTTCTCTTGTGTTTCCAGCCTAGAGAAGTTTCTTTGGCATTTGTTTTAAAGCTGGATTGATGGTGCTGAGTTTTCTTAGCGTTTGCTTCTCTGTAAAGCTTTTGATTTCTCTGTCAAATCTGAGTGACAGCCTTGCTGGGTAGAGTATTCTTGGTTGTAGGTTTTTCTCTTTCATCACTTTAAGTATATCCTGCCACTTCCTTCTGGACTGCAGAGTTTCTGCTGAAAAATCAGCTGATAACCTTATGGGGATTCCTTTATATATTATTTTTTATTTTTCCCTTGCTACTTTAAATATTTTTTTCTTTGAATTTTATTTTTGTTATTTTGATTAATGTGTGTCTCAGCATGTTTCTCCTTGGGTTTATGCTGCATGGGACTCTGCACTTCCTGAACTTGGGTGAATATTTCCTTTCCCATATTAGGGAAGTTTTCTACTATAATCTCTTTAAATATTTTCTCAGACTGTTTCTTTTTCTCTTCTTCTTCTGGGACCCCTATAATTTGAATGTTGGTGCATTTAGTGTTGTTGTAGATGTCTCTGAGACTGTCCTTATTTCTTTCCATTCTTTTTTTTCTTTATTCTGTGCCTTGGCAGTTATTTCCATTGTATGTTCCAGCTCACTTATTCATTCTTCTGTCTCAAATCAATCAATGTGATACACCATATTGACAAATTAAAGACGAAAAATCATACAGTCATCTTAATAGATGCAGAAAAAGCTTTTGACAGAATTCAAAACCCATAATAAAAACTCTCCAGAAAGTGGGCATAGAGGGAACCTACCTTAACATAATAAAGGCCATATACAACAAACCCATAGTAAACATCATTCTCAATGGTGAAACACTGGAAGCATTTCCTCTAAGATCAGGAAAAAGACAAGGATGTCCTCTCTCACCATTCTTATTCAAGATAATTTTGGAAGTCCTAGCCATGGCAATCGCAGAAGAAAAAGAAATAAAAGGAATCCAAATTGGAAAAGAAGAAGTAAAACTGTCACTGTTTGCAGATGACATGACATTATTCATAGAAAATCCTAAAGATGCCACCGGAAAACTACTAGAGCTAATGAATGAATTTGGAAAAGTTTCAGGTTACAAAATTAATGCACAAAAATATCTTGCATTCCTATACACTAACAATGAAAAATCAGAAAGAGAAGTTAAGGGAAAAAATCTCATGTACCATTGCAACAAAAACAATAAAATACCCAGGAATAAAGCTGACTAAGGAAGTAAAAGACCAGTATGCAAAAAACTGTAAGACATTGATGAAAGAAATTAAAGATGACACAAACAGATGGAGAGATATACCATGTTCTTGGATTGGAAGAATCAATACTGTGAAAATGACTACACTACCCCAAACAACCTACAGATTCAATGCAATCCCTATCAAACCACCAATGGCATTTTTCACAGAACTAGAATAAAAAAATTCACAATTTGTATGGAATAACAAAGACCCTGAATAGCCAAAGCAATGTTGAGAAAGAAAAAGAGAGCTGGAGGAATGAGGTTCCCTGTCTTCAGACTGTACTACAAAGCTACAGTAAAAGCAAAGCTACAGCACTGGCAGAGAAACAGAAAT